TTATTTGTTGAAAAATTAAGAATGTTCCAAAATTTCTCGAAAAACTCAATTGGCTGACTCCGCCACCATCACGCCCTTCTTGACCACTTTCAAGAAAATTACGCAACATTAGCTGTAAATTTTTACCAGGGCCTTACATTTATTAAACTATCGTCAATCGCATTGGAAAATGTTTTGGATTTCTTAGCAGAAATTCGCTTCAGCAAAGCATTACAATTCAATCATGATGGATTTTCTTATTGGCTTTAGCTCCTCGCTTTTTCGCATTGAATGGCGGTGTTGCTCTCGTACTCGAGACCCCTCTTCCCTCCAGCAATTGTAGATAGTCTAGGACTGGAGGCCGTGGGGAAACTAAATTGGAACAGCGAAGCTTCTCGTCACAGAGTCTACTAGGGGCTTCCAAAAGTAGACTGTGAAAATTTCGGTGCTTCGTTTTCTTTTGCATTACAAAGCCCAGATCCTGTGTTGTCTACCATCACAAATTTTTTCTCTCTGAAAAAAAACACCTTGTTTCTCTCTAAAAAAAAACAGATTTGGGCTAAATTAAGGCCACTCATCGTTAAATTTGCGCGGCTAAGCTAACTACAAAATAGTGCTCTCTGCCAATGCACAAGTAACACAAGGCTGGTGGCATCATCCATGAATAAGAGCCTGCATATATTGGTGATACCTATCTATTCATATGTGGGGCTATAATGTAGAGTGCACTAGCAATCGTACATTTTAGGTAGTATAATCGAAAACCAGTTTCTTTATTATAAACAGAGCTATATTTATAAAGAATTCATCCAAGGTCGGTCTTGGACGTGTTCGGCCGCGCGCCCTACGAGGTTATGGTGCTGCTCTTTCTCGCTATGCAACATTAAATTTCTTGTACTGTAACTTTACCAGCAAGCGTACTTAGTAACATTTCAACTTGCACCATTAAGAAATCGACTGCGGTACGTATGAAGTAATAGTTTCGATACGACAAAAAACAACGGAAAACCAGAGATCAAAGCTGAGGACTAACTCTCGCCTTTTATGGAGAAGCGATACTTACTTAGATGCTTAGATGGCCTGTCTTCACTTGTCCTGCAGGCCATCTAAGTATCTAAGTACAGTTTCCATCCGTTTCTGTCCTTCGCTAGCGTCATCCACGATGTTGGTATGGAACTGCGGCGGCGACGTTCGCGAGGTCCAGGTCCATTACTCGTTACCAGCTAAGATTTCAGCTGGTCCATTCGTGCAACGGAAACATCAGCCCATCTGGTCGGTGGCCTCCCTCGAGGACGTTTTGCTTCGCGAGGAATCCATTCCAGAGTTCTTAATGTCCATCTGTCGTCTGCCTTCTCATTATATGACCAGCCCATCAATGCTTTGCTTTAGAGACCTATTCCGCTGGATCGCGAAGACGAGACATTATCTCATATCTGAACTGCGAAGTCCAACGAGATGTGAGCACGTCGCTTGTACTTCAGAAGACGTCGTTTCAGCGCTCTGTGAGTTGTCGGAGAGCCTTTGACGTAGCCACAGTGTCAGGCCACGTCTCTGCTGCGTAGCAGAGTGCAGGGAGAACAGTTGGACCAAACAGGTGGGCTCGGAGCTCTAAGTCCGTCAGCTGGTCTGTGGCTTCCTTTAGGCGCCCGAAGGCGGCCCAAGGTGCTCTTTGTCTCCTGTTTGGTTTTTTTAAGATCATCCCCGCAATTAGAGAGCCTTCTAATTTCATTTCTTGATCCTTGCAAAAAGCGTTTTTCATGAACTGAGTCTTCTTCCGGTTGACTCGCAGTCCTACCTGTTTCCCTACTTCATTTAGTTCTTTCGACATCGTCTCCGCTTCAGTGATACTTTTCGAGAAGAGAACAATGTCGTCCGCGAAACGAAGATTCGAGAGGAAATTCCTATCAACTCTTATACCTCTCTCGTTATAATCCAGTGATTTCATCACCCACTGCAATGCGGCGGTAAACAGCTTTGGCGATATGGTGTCGCCTTGTCGAACCGCCTTCGAGATTGCTATGTTAAGGGGACGACGGAAAAGCTGTACCGTTGTAGAGCTGTAGCAGTCGGCCAATGTCCTCACATAAGATGGGTCCACCCCTTGGTCGACGAGCGCTGACAGGATGACATTAGTCTCGACGCTGTCAAACGTTTTCTGGTAGTCAACGAAGGTTAGGACGAAGGTAGGCGGCACTCTCGGCAAACCTCGAAACTGTCTGGATGTGATCCACGCAGTTGGATCCCTGGCGAAATCCAGCTTGTTTTACAGGTTGGACTTCACCCAATTTCCCTGAGATGCGAGCGAGAATAATCTTCGCAAAGAGCTTGTAAAGCATGCTCAGCAGGCATTTTGAACGGTAGTTCCGAATCCTCCCTATCGCCCTTCTTATGAAAAAGGATTGCGGGAGGCTCTCCACTGACGGGAATCCTTTCTTTTTGAAGGTAAGACGTTAGGTGTTTATCTCTTGTATCTCTTGTCTCTTGTACAAATATCTCTTGTACTCAATGTTCCAGCTCGTAAGAGGTTGACCGAAACATGGTCCGGTCGCTGCCTTCATGGTCTGAATTGCGGCGCGTACTTCAGCAGGTAGAATTCTTGGTGGTATTTCTCCAGTGGGAATAACGGGATTTGACACGGGTGTTGACGAGCGAAAGAGATTGGGGTACAATCCCTCGTGATCGATTCCATCTTTTGTCGGGAAGATGTACGAGGTCCGTCTTCGTTTAATTATGCAGCGGAAACGATAGTCGAGAAGGTCCCTGCAGTACTTCTTTAGACTTCTCCTTCCTTGTGCTTCTCCCAAAAGTTTCGATTGCCTGTACTTTCAAATTTTCTTGCAAAGCTCTTCTTAACTTCAGTCACTGGAGATGTGATGCGGTCGGATCCAGCCTCAGGCTCTTCTCCTCATTAGCATATATTAGGTGGCTTTCGAAATTCGCTCCAAGTGCCTTGTGCGAGGCACTGAGGCACTTTCACCACAGGCTCTCAGTCCTCTAAGAAGCAGGTCGTAGTCTTTTGTCGGGTCCTCCTCGATGGGCCTGTCACAAGTGGTCAGGAGCTCCTCCAACCTGACGCGTCATATACGACTTCTCCCCTTCCTCCAACACGGTGGCAGATCTTCTTTTCCAGCTTTCGGCTGAATCGCACTTTTCTTGAAGGAGGCGGTGATCTGAGCCCTACTGAAGGGTGGTAGCACTGAGACGTCCAGTAAGCATCACCTTCGGTTGGTAAGAATGTGGTCGATCTCCGCATGAGTCGTGCCGCTAGGTGATCCCCATGTCCACCGCCGATGTTTTTTCTTCATAAAGATGTTGCCATGAAAAGCTGTGCTCCGGATAAGAGCTCATCAAGACAGTCACCATTCTCATATCTGAGTCGATCCAACTCTCCGATTCTATGCTCCCCTTCTTCTGACATCCCGATTTTCGCATTAAAGTCATCCACGACGAGCTTATAGAAGGCCTTTATTTGCGGATGACTTCCTCCAAATCCTCGCAAAAAGCATCAAGTTCTGAATCATCTGTCGATGTTGGAGAATAGCAGTTGATGATAGTGATGGCTTTCTGACGCAGAGGACGGAGTCGAAGGACAGCCAAGCGGGGTGAAGGATCTTATGCGAATCGACAAGATGGACAACAGACAGGTGTACGACAAATCCAACGCCTCCAACGTTCCGTGATGGAACGTTTTCACCACGAATGATGAGTGTGCC